TGTACTTTCTACTCGATTACTAAAAAGAATATGTTTTCTAAGCATGAAACAATATCATTTTTGTCAAGAGTTTGGAAATGGAGCACTTATATGAATTGAAGAAAGCTTCCTTTCTCTTCCCTGTGCGGTTCTGGTTATGGGGAAAGAGCTTTCTGTGTGAGTAATCTTTCTAAGTAGGAAGCAGAGCTCCCCTATTGCTAGGGAAGAATGGACCTCCAGTAGGCTAATATGTGATGGATGACTGAATACAAACTTGGCAACGTTGTTCTCCGCTACCCAAAGAATACAAAATGCCACAGGCTATTCGTACACAGGCACTCTCTAGTTGGAAGTTCTGAAAACTTGGCAACATCCCACCTTAGTTTAATTGAAACTACAGTGGCGAGACAATTAAGGATGTGAATTTGGGGAAATTTCTTGCCACAAGATCAACTCAGGATGAATTTCTCTTTGGTGAGTGACTCATGCATAAGCCAAACAAAAACATAAATGGAAAATTATTCTCACTTACTCACAACCTAGGCAATAAAATCTCACATTTGTTTATGAGGGATACTTTATGGTATATAATGTATGTTAACTAATATTCTTTAAAGTCTATATCTAGATATACTCTCTGAAGCTGCAGGGGGTTTTCGTTGTTTTGTCAGTAGCAGGCTATGCAGTATATAAGAGAGAGATAAATGATGCATATAGAAATCCAGTAAAATATTACATTAAGGACATGTCTAGTTATAAGGGCATGTATATCATTCCAGTGAATGTTAAAAAGAGACACTAAGTAATTCAAACTTTGTCCTTTTAGCAGAAGGATCCCTATTATATTCCTTCTTTCAATGCCTGACCACTTTCTGCTGTATCAGGAGACATCTCTTGTCAGGCAGAATCCTATTCTGACTCCTCCTCCCCAGTCTGCCCATTCCACACAGTTTAGTGACATCATACATTGAAAGATTTCACTAGCTGGAAGAATGCCCGGTTTTTAACTTTTCCCACATGTGGAAGGCATTTAACTTCAGCTCAGATTGGACAGAGGGTCGAACGCATGAGAGGACAGTAAGCACTGAGTTAGGGGAAGTTTCACACTTGTATAAACCCCAGAGCTCAGTGGAAATGGAGATGGCTCAAGATTGTCTCTCAGGGTTGTTAATTTTCCTTCTTTCTGGTAGTCCCATTTCTCAAAGAACTGCCTTCTTCCTTCTTTTTTTTTTTTCTCTTTAATACACAAAGGACTTTTTTTTTAACAGCTAATAATAGCAATTGTAAGCTCTTTGTGGCAGAGAGCATCACTTGTTCTCTCTATTCCCTCTTTCTAATACAGTGAGTCCCTAAAATGCTGTAGCAATAGTAACAACATCATCAACTTACAATAAACTCCTACACAAAACCAATGCCATGGACAGCATGTCCACTTTGATATCAAGCAGTTTAATGAATTAAATTACATCTTATAAACTTATAAGTAATCTGTACACATCCCTTATTTTCCAGATCTTGAGCATAAGTTATGATGTTTCTTGTCCAGAACTTAATAGTTACCAGTCCTACAAATACTTGCACTAGTTTTGCCTATTTCTGAGCCTGGGTGATGATATTTACTCATTAACTTAATTCACTCTGATTGGTATCTTCCTTAGTTTTCTACTTCAGCAACAATGATTTTTTTTCTCCAATATTACATCAGTGACTTCTTAAACCTGCTATGGGTAGCTATTACATTTTAGAGTAACTTCAGACTTCTGTAGTTTATAACCATTGGTTTTGATAACAGAGATCAGTCTTCGAGATGGATGTGCTAAATTCACACCAGAAATTAAGTCTGAGAAAGTGCATGTTGGTAAATCAGAGCACAGTTTGTAAGACCAATATCTCAAACTGACATAGTTCAAAACAAATACCTTTTTGTTACTGGAAAGCTGAGATTTCTAACTTTCTAGTGATATAAGTCATCCATTTCTAAGCCTAGAGCTTTATGAGACACTGGACCTTAAAACTGTCAATGGCCCTTCAGCTTAGCAGACTGCAATGGCATGTGTCCAAGGATGAATATATCAAGTCACAGGCTTCAAATTAAAGTAATTTTTAACCACTCTGAATTTCTCATGTTTCAATGCATGTCACACGGAGAGGGCAGGTAAATGTGTAGCTGATAATGAAGCTGACACCACCCTCTGCTTACTTCCAAATGTAATATTCAACCTAAACAGGTACCAGGGTTCACTAATGGAAACAGCCAACTGAACGAAGACTGTTTCTCCCTCACAGATCTGCCAATACAGGACACCTGCTTACACCAGACAACGACTATACAACCCAGTACATTTCATTGCCATTTAGCACCACTCAGACCTCTGAAGACACCCTACAAAGCCAGATGAACAGATGTACTGTTGTGCTATACGAGGAAAATGTCAGAGAACTGCACAAGCAGGTCTAGTATTTCAAATGGTTTTACCAGAGGGGATGAAAGGGTTAAAGCTCTGGCTCCAAAGCAACATCGCTGTTTCAAACCCACACTTGCTTCTCAGATCTGCTTCACTCTTGAGGATGAAAAAGCCCCAAGAAGCACAGACTCTGCCATCTAATCCCATTTTCTTATCAAGAAGTGAAACAATACTCAAGAACAAACTTTGACAGTCTCTTTACAGTAAGTCAGAACATCTTCATACATGATTAGTCTTTGGCTTTTTTAAGATATTTTATAAAAAGCAGTAATATGAAGAATAAGACACCTGATCTGAATTTCAAACACCTTTAGAAATGCTGTTCTAGCAACATGATAGTTAAGTTTAAGTGAATATTGAGGAGAAATGATCCAGTCTGAAACAGCTGGGATCAAAAGAAGTAATAGATTTCCATTAACAAAAAATCTCCTGCTAACACAGTTTCTCATAATTTTGTGGAGCACCTTTTGACCTGAGTTTAGGGATACTCCCAGTAAGTTCAGACATCATAAAGAATCGTTATTTCCACAGAAGAATTGGATCTGGTTGGTTTGCTGTTTGTATGCCTGTCACCACAATGTACCTGGATGAGATTCCTTCAGCAGAGTATCAGCTTCCCCTCCAAACAAGACATGACATTCTAATCTGCAGGCTGTACACTTTTCAGCAGATCCTTTGGCTCTTCTACAGCTTTAGAAACACTGATAAAGTAACTGTAGTTATAGGATTAAGGACTGGAACTTCCAAAGAATTTTCTCTGGGCTGAAAGGAGCCAGAGGATAAAATTAATGAGCAAAAAATATGGGAAACGAATAGCAATTTGCTGATGATAGTGAGTGTGATAATGGTCAGTGACAGTGGGGGCAAGCAGTCCCCTGTGCAGCATCCCTCCCGCTCTGCCCCCTTGCAGCTGGTACTGCCCTGCTCAGTTCAGAGGCACATCCTCTCCTGAGCAGCCTGCAGAGGGGTAGCAAAGGGGATGCACTGGGAACACCCTGGTAACTCTTCCAAGACTTTCAAAATTCACTGCCAGGGAAGGTGAACTGCAAATAGACAGATTCTCTTCTTTTGGCCAAACAATTTCATTTGATCACACATTTGCTCCTGAGTTTCTAACAGCAGTAAGAAAAAACCTGAAAGACATCATAACACTTTTCTGAAAGTCTTGCTAGAATTCCAAGGACTGTCGCTAGCCCCCACTGTCCAGCTCATTCTTGAACTACAGCAAGTTTAAGATTTCATGGCTTTAAAAGGCAAATGGATAAATTCAGCATAATGAAACAAAACACACATATAACACTAATCAGGAGAAGTGTAAAATGAATTCCTTTTATTTAATATGATTAAAAAAAAAAAACCAAAAAAAACAACAAAACTGGGAGATAAAACCAGACACAACAGCTTGACAATAACGCTTTTACACAGCCCATAGAACTGCATGCACTTCATTGGTTTCTATTATTTTCATTAAAGAAAATGGGATAAATAACTTTATTATGTTTTTTAATTTTATGTCTTCACTGTGCAAGAGGACATGTCACCATCATTTCAATCTGAATATATCTTTCTCCTGCACAGTATGATACAGACTTTTTAGAAGTTTAGGATAACTGCCCAAAACTCTCCTCCTTGATCTCCAGAGAGCAAATCAGGCAGGGAAAACTCTGTAAAGGTGATGTAACACCAAGTTTTGAGTAAGTGGGTTTAGCTCCTAAATAAAGCAAAGTGTGATCACCTTCTCCTAGTCAGCTTCTGTATTTTAAGTCAATTTGAGCCTAACTGGTAAGTGCAGACACAGTCATGCAGAAAAACTCAGTGCACAAGGGAGCAAGTAGTTAAGACAGACTGTAAAGCAAGTGTCTCCATTTTTCCATGATGATGGAGAATTTCACCCTCCCACTGCCCAGAACCCACCCATTTAAGTACTGGTAACCAGATACCAGCTGAATCTTCCTTTGTCTTTTGCTCCCCACTGCAGACTAATGTTACCATACTTTTAAAAGAAACTGGAGCCCAGTGGGGGCAGGGAGGAAGGTGACAAAGGCTTCAGTGCAAATAAGTGTGCAGACAGCAAATTAAAAAAGAAAAAGGTCCTGACTCTTTTCAAGTCACACACAGTAGCACAGGAAGAGGAGTTACCTGGGAGGTTTAAGAACTGCAAGTGGATTTAGTCTGGTACACAAGGTGAGGATGAGGAAAACATTTCTATCACTTCAGTAGCCAAGAAGAAATCCCAAATCTGATTTTCTACCCTTTCTGTCAATTAGGTTTCTGACTATATTTCTGCAGATGTCCAGCATTCAATTAACTCATCCTTCATTCATTCATTGGATCAGATTGTTGTCATTGAGATATTTCTTACATTATTATTACACCAGATAATAAAGACAAACTAAAGGCAGGCATGCTCCAATTCAAAAATATTCCCTGATAAGATCCCTGACTACTCAGACTGATAGTCCTAACTATGAGGGTCATGACAGAACACAGTGTCATTGCAAGTTTGTGTGGGAGAAGAGCTCCTGATTTTTTAATTCGGGAAGGAAGCAGACTTACCTTACAGACTCTGACAGATTAGATCCCGCTGTGAGCAGTCTCCATGAAATAAATACGTTAAAGTCAGCTATCGGCTTCTGACTTTGTTGCCGTCCTGTCAAAACTCAGAGAAGTTGCGTTGTCTAATTTTGCTTGTGAGCATGTGAAAGACAGAAACGTTTGACAGTAAGGCAAACTGGTCAGATCAGCCAGATTCTGCTGGGTTTATATAGCTGAGCTGCAAATCCTGATCCTTGGCTCATTCCACTGTAATAGGATGCCTGAAGGCATTTTTTTTCAGTTTTGCTTTAAAGGAACAGCCTCGCTCTTTGGCTTAGCTTCTGAAAGACACACACGCACACTCACATACACACACTGTCATCCACAGGCACACATACAAAAAAAGAATTTGCATGCAATTTATGGCTAAAGAAGGAAACCCCTGAACCATTAAAAAAAGAAAAGTCAGCTCAGGGCAAATGACTCAGAAAGCAGAATATTTTCCTTACAGCATCAGCGAAGTACATTATCAGGAGCTTTTATCCCCTCATCCCCAATATTTTAACATTGTGAAAGAGTAGCAAACTTTAAAAAAACAGAGGAATCACAAGCAGGATTTCACATCCAGAAACTCCTACAGAACGTAATGTGTCTAATTGCAGTTAGTGTAAATCAACTCCACTCCACTGGGATCAACTAAAAAAAATCAGATTTACACAAACAGACAATCTGGAAAATCCCCATATTTTCAAGTTTGTGATCTCCTTTGCGTCCTTTTGCACTCCTGCTCTCAACAGAGAGGCTCTTGAGAAAAAATAAAAAGAGATTTAAAAAAGATATAAAAGCCCAGAGAGAATGACACAGGAGGGACTCCCTTTCTTCTCAGATCTGATAAAAAGAGATTACGTGGCTGTGTGTGTAAAGATAATCCAGACACTTTTGTGAGGCTTATGGTTTCTCAATCATTGCATTCTCTCTGCTTCCCATCCCAGAGCTATCAGTAACACACAGAGGGTTCATCTGGGACCTTTCCAGGGGTGTTTGTTATCTCTGACTACCCTTGAGCTTCAGGCTTGTGGCAAAAAGTAAAGATGACAGTTAAAGGGCTCTCATTAACACTGATCTCTCTCCTACTGGATACTAAAAATCTACTTCTCCCTTGACCACACCCCAGCCACTCCTGTGTTGGTTTTTTTT